ACTTGTGTTATCTTTGACTAATATTTAAATTTGTTTGATGATCTGAAACATTAAAGTGTGACAAACATGCAAAAAAATAAGAAATCAGGAAGGGGGCCAACACTTTTTCACACCACTGTATATATATATATATATATATATATAACTACCTAATTATTACCTACAATACTTCAAAATACAACTAACATACCTAAAGATATTGCAGTGTATTTCCTATTGGAATCCAGATTGTTTCATAATAAGGCCTTGTACGCATGTGAGAAGCTCTAAAATTATTTTAATGCATAATATCCGTGAAATTTATCCTGAAAGTGAGAAAAATTGAGTAAATTTATAATGTTACAAAAGATTTCTATTTCAAATAAATGCTGTTCTTCTGAAGTTTCTATTATCACTGTTGTGATAATATTGCACAGCACAACTGTGTTAAATATTGATAATAATAATAAGTGCTTCTTGAGCATCAAATCAGCATAGAATGATTTCTGAAGGATCATGTAATGCTGAAGATTGGAGTAATGCCGCTGAAAATTCAGCTTTCCCATCACAGGGTTAAAAAAAATACATTTAAAAATATATTCAGTTAGAACATTATTTTAAATTGCAATAATATTTCACAATATTACTGTTTTTTCCTGGATTTTTTTTATATATAAATTCAGCCTTAGTGATCATAAGAGACTTTAAAAACATCAAAAATCTTACTGACTCTTGAATTTTGAACAGTAGTGTATTTATACACGTTTGTCATGTAACACTTTTATGCTCATGATATGAATGCTGATAGTTTCTTTACATAAGCCTTTCAGGTTCATTGGGGAATGTTAAATGTCTTATTTACCAGAAGCAACAGGGTTTGACTCACATATTGTTTTGTTTTTTGATGATCCAGCTTTATCTACCAGATCTCAATCTATGAGAAGTTATCACACACCCAAGTGCAGATCCATGACAGAACAGACAATTGAGCAATAGGTCACAGAAGGACAGAGAGCAGGAGGAGACAAGGGAAGAGAGAAATGGGCCAGTTTGCAACACATACAGCCCTAATGGACACTGCATGCTTTCTCCACTCCAACAAGCGAACAATAGCTTTGCTGGAGGTGTCAGGAGAAGGCACAATAACTGCATTATTGTCCTTGACTTGACCTTGTGTATTAGAATGCATTTCAGTGGAAGAGGAAATCACAGAAGACAGGGCAGGAGCTTGCTATTTTTGGCTCACAATACACATTTTTATGAACTGACATCTTTGAGAAAACCCAAAGGCTGAACTAAAAGGGAAGGAACGATGCTGCTTTGAAATTCACTAGACAACCAGACAATGTATTAGCAGACCCAGTATTAGCAAGTATGAATCTGCAAGTCTTGAATAAAATTTAAAGCCAAACAAAAAACAGCACAAGGAGCAGCAAAGTGAAGGTAAGGCAACGTATTTTTGCTCATCCTATGGAGGACTATGGAGGCTTATGTCTTTTGTCTACACTTTTATCTACAAATGCATGCAATTCGCTTTCTATATTCATCCGGTAACATTTTGAAAAATAATCATTACATTTCAAGCAATGTATATCTGTCCAAATCATGCTTTGCCAGTTTAAGGTGTACTTGAATAAATTACGTAAAAAGATGGTGTATTTTGAAATAAAGGGTTAAAATAATACAATATATCTTGGTAACATAGATGCATTGCACATTTTATACATGAAATAAAGTGGTTAGATATTCTGGCTGTTATTCGGGTGGCAAACTATTTACATATCATTGTAACAAAAATGTGGAAAAAGGAAATGTAGAATCAGATTGTGCTTGAATCATGTGCTCAGTGGTGTGCTCAGGAAGTTTAACCATCAACATTTACCTCGTTGTTTGTCTGGATGATTCATTTAAATTTTTTTTTGCCCAGAGTGATCAATTTATATCGGTCACTTTTTTGGAGCAGTTAAGTAAGGCCATTAAACACTCATAAGTGACACCTCTATATAGCGTTTGTCAACACTAAGAGCGAGTATCATTATGTCACGGTCTGTCTGAATATTTCCTGCATTCTTCTGATACTATCAGGGGCGTGTCCAAGCCCCTTTCATTTCCTGAAAGTGCATGTGTAGAACCTAAAAAAACACTTCAGCTGAACTATAAAACTTTGCTTAATCAAACGATCCTGTTTCAGTTGTTCAGTCCACTGACAATGGCCAAAAGACATCTAATGTTGCGGATCTTCGCTCTGTGTGTTTCACTCAAACCCTCAGGTAAGACACTGGATACACTAGTGCCTCTGCTTCACAATGACTGAACTTATCTCTGCACTGCTGTGGACTCTTCAGCTGTAATACTACACTGCACTGACAAAGTCTAAGAGTTCACACAATGAAGGGTGTCTGATTTTAGAGTATTAGAACTTATACTGTAAAAGTATGTGATATTTTTTATTTGTACAGATCCTAGGTTTACTAAGGGCAGGGGAAATCATGCAAATTATATGGAATGCAATATTTGTTATGCATGATTTATATCTTTATATGTAACAAATGTATTGTTCATATTATTTTAAAACAGTATGTTGAATAATGTTTTATATAATTTCAAAACATTATTGCATTTTTATATAATGTTCCATAAGAAACATGAAACAGTTAATTCATATGAAATCACTGGTAACACATTAGATTGTAGTGTATTACATGTAAATATACACTCTAAGAAACGCTGGGTTGTTTTTTCAACCCAAATGCTAGGTTGAGACCGCAGGGTAAGGACGTTGGGTTGTTTTAACCCAATTTGGGTTGAAAATAGTTCTTGATCTATAACCCAGCGGTGCTGGGTTGGGAACGCGGACGTGAAAGAGAGCACGCACGTCACGTTAACATCGGACGACACCAGTGCGAGAAGCCGCCATTTTCTCAGCGTCTTCAGATGGAAGCGAGTGCGAGTGAAAGACGTTTTATGGTAAGTAAAGATTAAAAATGTAAAGTCATCATTCATTGTTTGAGTCCGGTAGTATTTTGAGATTTCATGGAAGGCGGAAATATTCCGAAAAGAGTTTATATTGAAAAATACGCGGACGCGGATTTCGCCTCAGAGCGCCTCGTCTTAACGGCCTCTTTTACTGAACGGAAGAGGTGCTTTTAATATAATGTCAGTGAGTGTCTTATGTCGTATTTACATACGATTTTACAATATTTAAATTTTTTGAGGTGTTAAGAGAAGGTTATTAACATATTTACATGTTAATTCATTATCCTCTTTTTCGCGGTTAAATTGAATGTAACGTAGTTTCCTAAAGGAAACAGCGTTATGTAATAAAGACTAGCCTAATTATATTGAGGCTGATGAAGTGATAATTGTTAAAAGCAATGTTTTGCATGTAATATTTCAGACTTGTTGAGCTTTGTGTTTTCATTGTGCCCGCGCCGAGAGTGGACAACACAGAACCCTGCTTGTGTGAGGAGGCGATTTTCTCAGCTTCTTCAGAAGAGAGGGAAAGA